TGATAAATAAGAATAACTCAAAGGATAAACTTCTAGGGAATACCAGTAAAAACAGCTTTTTTCGATCTAGGATGCTTCCTTTTACCCTGTTCTTTGGTTCCAGTCATCCAGTCATCTCTTTATCAATAGCGCCATATTCCCCTTGATTTCATGAACCTAATGTTTTTTTAACTCATTCACAGGATTTAATTAAAGTCTTTATAAGATACTGTTTCACATATTTTATGAGTTTACTGTCATTGGTATAACCAGTGTGAAACGAAACAAGCAGCTATTATAAACCAGTTCAGGAAATATGAAGCTGAATTGGATGCCTTAGGAATGTCACATATTTCCATATATACAATGTGTTTTCAAACTCGTCTGCTTTCATCTTTTGACTTTGGTCTGAGACATAACCAGTTTGGGCATCAGTTCGACACGATTGGAGCCAATTCTGGGCTCATGACAGAAGCCATCTGCTCAGTTGGGCGTTTAGAACATTTCTGCATTTCTCTACAATAAAGAGGCCACTGTTGCAGGATATTTCAACCAGACAATGTAAATGCAATAAAAACATCAACATGAGTGCAGTTTCATTTTGCATCATTGGAATGGACAGGTAATAGAGGCATCGTGCCAGTTATTGACCAAAAGTGAGTCTAAACAGCATTCCATGTGGTTAGTATGGAAATGAATTGAGACAGTTTTGTAACCAATGGCATCTAATAACCAAGAAATTCGTGAATGGATTTCAGATGTATATTAAAGCTGAAGTCAGTTTTACTTACTTAGCTGTGATTAATATGAATTTACTGTACATTATACCAATCTTATCCTTTGTGTGTGTTTGTAGTGAACAGTTTAGAGCATTTTAGTGGATATACTTTACTGACACATTTACTGACACTAAAGATGGAGTCTGCTTAAAAGAAATGTTGTGGAGGTGCCGGTGTTAGACTGGGGTAGACAAGGTCAGAAATCAGACAGCACCAGGTTATAGTCCAACAGGTTTATTTGAAATCACAAGCTTTCACAGAGTTGCCCCTTCATCGGGTGAAATGAAAGAGAGGCACACAGTCGCAGAATTAATAGGCAGAGAGATCAATGGTCAGAGAGATCAAAAGATCATACAAATGGTATGACTGGAGTGTTGACCTATTTTTTGGCCTGACAACATTCCAGTCATACCATTTGTATGATCTTTTGATCTTTCTGACCATTGATCTCGCTGCCTATTAATTCTGTGACCGTGTGCCTCTCTTTCACTTCACCTGATGAAGGGGCAACGCTCTGAAAGCTTGCGGATTCAAATAAACCAGTTGAACTATAACCTGGTGCTGTCTGACTAAAAGAAATGTAAAATATGCTTTGAATCCTAACATAGCAAGACCAAGTTTCCTCTGCCTTTGTGCCCGAAGACATCCGAATTCAAGGACTTAATCATGAGTTGCAATATACCTTAAGTCTCCTCAATCTACTCCTACCATTCCCTAAAGTGCTACATCCAAATTAATCCCTACAACAACCTTAGCCACATCCCAAATCTCAAATGTGCCAATTTGCAGTGCTGAGGGAATGTTAGAGTGGGAGAATGGAGCTTCTCTGAACACCGCCAAAAAATGCAGCAGGATGTCATTTTCTCGCTTATTCATTATATTCATTGTATTTTTCTTAATTCGTTCGGACTGAGGATCCCCTACATTTTCTATTCCTTTTGATGCATTTCTAGGACTTTGCATAAGTCATGTTAAGCATTGTCCAGCTTCCATAATACAGGCTCAAGAGTCCGTGTGGTTGATGTGCAAGGCTGACATTTGAGTGAATTGAAACTTTAATTTTAAGACTCAAAAAAAAATGTACTGCCCTAGATTTGGTGCTTCTTTGGATGCAAATTGTTGACACTTATATGTACCTACTTTATTTTTGAATAATTGACATTGGAAAGATACTTGGACATAACTTGGCATCAATAAAATGGGAGCAAATTTGGCTGCAGTTTATGAGTTACTCTCCTGGAGAAAATATGCAGCTTCTTAGTACCAAAGTTATTCTTCAACGTAAAATTGTTGGGTTGGAGCTCAAATAGAAACAGTAATACTGTTGGAAAGAAATGGGCTAGGTTTCCTTTCCAGGCTTGCCAACAAAACCAAATAAAGCCCACAATGAAATATTTTAAACCGTAATTGCATAAGCAGGGAATGCAAATTTCATTAGTTGCACCCCAAATGATAATCTCCCTTTCAGGTGCCTGCTTGAGCACGCCAGATCTCCAGACTCCAGATTAATGTGGCTGAGGTGAGGAATGCAGGCAAATCTTTTGCCAGAAGCTGGAAAATCAGCACAAGGCCTAAATGACTACCAACATTAATGAAGCTTACACATTTGCTGCAGCCATATTCCAGCATAATACAGTATGTGCACCATTATCGAAGCATGCAGACACGTACCCTTAGCCTTTGACATGCTGTTATGCCATTATGTTTTAGTGAACTAGAGACAAATGACTCCACAGCATTTCTTACTGAACAAAACCCTGATATTTCCAGGATAGTGCAACTAAACAACACAGCAAGACCAGGGATGTGGAAGTTGTGCAGAACTTAATAGTATTTGTCCGATCTGTTTCCACCCTGGAAGGACAACCTGGCCAGCAGGCAGCATAGCTCGGTACCCTTACAGCTGACTCCCCACCAACTAGAAGCGGGAAGTAAACCTGAAATCAGCAATGGTAGAGGCCTGTGATTAGCAGTGGTCCTACACATCCTTTTCTTGTTCCTCCCTCAAGGCAAAAGTGACCACACATTTGGTGAGTATTTGGTGGATTCATACATGACTACTAAGGCCAAAATGCACAGCAGAAGATTCAGCTGCAAATAGATCTGGATACTACAAATGATTGAGCTTTAGGACATGTTACTGGCTCTGGATTTCCTTTCCTTGGATTTCTTTCTGCCTCTCATATGCATTTGTTTCCAAAGGAGGCGGCACTGTTTCTTAGTTGGTTGTGCAGGGATCCTGGGCAACCTTCTCCAAGGACTTGAAGTCAAGATCAAACTCCTATGTGGTGCTTTCAGGTGTCCTTTGACCCTCATAAGAGCGCATTGCAAAGTCAAGGTCTCCACAGATGATCTGTTTCATAAGTGAATCCTAGACATTCTGCCTACATGACTAGATTGACTCAGTTGTGATTGTCTCAATACGGTGTGGACACCTAGCAGGCCTAATTTGGTCAGCATCTCAGTGACTGTTATTTACTTCTGTCATCTGATCTACAGCAGCTTCGGAAGGCAACTGACGGGAAAATGGTTACACTTCTTGGCATGTTGCAGATATAGTCCATTCATTGAGCAGAGTGGGCAGGACTATTGTTCCATAAACTTTCAGTTTGGTACACTGACTTACTCCTCTTCCTTCTCAGACTGAAACTCAAAATCTCCCAAAGGCAGCTTTTGTTTTGGCAATTCTTGTCTGTATTTTGTCATCAATGTAAACAGCTAGAGAAAGTGTGCTGCTGAGGTAAGTGAACTCATCCACTGCTGACCAAGTAATGGACAGAGACCCTGGCCCGAGATAGGGCTTTCCTGGAGGAGGCTGGTATATCATTCCAGTTTACTTTGTGCTGATTGTAACGCCAATGTTGTCTTGGGGTTAGAGTAGATAGGACCATATAATTCTTCAGCAGCTCCCATAGAAATCCTGCAACCAGTTAGCATTTCCCACTTTCACAGAGGGAGAAGCCACAGTACAATACCATGTCACTAGGGAAATGCCTCGTAGGATAGCAAAGAGAATCGCATTTGCCAATTTGGATCATTCATTATCAGACCTCAATCAATTCAATTGAATGTAAACCCCAAATTCTGAATGTTGCTTTCATTCTTTCATCCTGCCTAATAGAATATAAACCCTAAGAAAGATAATAAGTGTATGAAATTGATGGACAGTGGTGTAGCTGAGTTGAAAATCCTGGATTCATTTAAGGCATATCAATAGAACACTAAGAGTTTTCTTAGATGGACCTCCTTTAATCTTGTAATGTTGTATATGACACAATTTTTGATGTATATATTGGAGGAATGATACACTGTGACTTTGTCCAGGGACAGAGGCATCCAGACTGGCTTGACATGCCAGTTTTTATGGCAGTTTGCAAATGAGTAATAGCTCTAGGTTAGTTTGGGACTTGAACTCAGTTAAAACAGTGGAGTGACATATATTTAATAAAAACAAATAATCTAACCACTGGAATGGAAAATGAATTTTGCAGATAACTTACAACAGGATAACGCAGTCTTAGGACTCAACCTCTTTCCTCCCCCATCTGCTTAAATTGACAGTCACTGCTGAAGAATTCTTTTAAAACTCCCTGAGCATTTGAAGTATCTCACAAAGGGATGAATGCCAATCTGAGTTCAAATCCCGAAGCAAGTTCAAACAACAGCACTCATGCCTGGTTTGAACCAAAGTATTGTGCTTTCTGTGGTACATTATATGTTTAGCCCTTCAAAGGTCCCTTTGAATTCATGTAACAAAGAATTGATTATACCATGTGAATAAGTGCTTAGCAATTCAAGTCTAAGACCATAGGCTTAGGAGCAGAAGTAGGCCACTTGCCCATTGAGTCATCTCTGCCATTCGATGAGATCATGGCTGATCTGATAATCATCAATTCCACCTTCCTGCCTTTCCCCAAAACCTTGATTCCCTTACAGATTAAAATGTGATCATCTCAGCCTTGAATATAATTGTTGATGAATAATTTTGTTTAATAATTTTAGGCGAATTTTTGAAGCAAATTGCACTGGATCAATGTTAACCTATGAATATTTTGTACATGCCCTTAAACATTCAAAATTAACAGGTTTTCAATTCCATTAATAGTAGAAGAATTACAGTGTCAGCAATGGAATAATGTCGAAACATCAGGTGATAGAAAGAAGGGACAGTAATAGTGCAGGAGAACCGATGATTTATTCAGTTTATAATGTGCCATGTCCCTTTTGTTTTTAATGTTGCAGCTCACCACAGCCACCTTGGACGGCAAGCTCCAACTGTTTGTTCCATAGCGGCAGAGGATCCTGAAGGCACAGTAATACATCATAACCTGAATGTAGCACGAATAAATCATATCAGAAACCAAGAACTGTGACTGGAAACCAAATGATAAGTGTCACAAATTGGGAAATGGGTTGAGATCTGAGGCTCATGATGAAGGAAGTGACATACGTGGTATTTTCTCAATGTCTCTGGGATAAAGGGCTTGCGGGAAACAGATTAGCAGGATACTTGGAGATGAATGGATGTTATTCAGCGAAGATGATGAAAGTAATTCTGAGCCAGAACAGTTGTGTCACAAGCTTCAACTCTGTGTCAGACCATTAAAGTGAAGAGTGCGTGGTTAGAACTGTTTGTGTTTTACTGGCTGAAAATGAAGAACTTATCTGTGACTTTATCATTTGAAAGGGAAGCACTGTAAATCCATTAGGCAATTTTTCAGGCTGTCTTTGCTGACCTAAACAGATCACTGTTTCGGAAAGACTTTGTTAACTTAATGAAGACCTGAATTTAGAAACAAACACATTGAGTATAATTACAAATTCCTCCACTAAATGGTTCCTAGAAACCAATGGCAGTTCAGTAAAATAATGTTCCTTATCTTTGCAGAGTAAAATAGAACTTTTCATCCTCACACATTCATTTAACAAATATTCTCTGTAATTAGCTGCCTTAAAATTAGATCTTGATCTGCTAGTTTGAAATGAGTGATTTTGTCAGAAGGTGATTAACAATTAAGACAACTAAATGTCTGCATTCAAAAAGGGACATAAATGGAATCAGGGCCTTCATATTCCAGTTGGCATTCTAGGTCATTGAAATTCAAAAGTTTGTTAGCTCATCTACTACGCAAGGTAGAATACACGAACTGAAAATTATATGTGAGGAACAAAGGATCCATTAGAGCAGATAGTAAGATTGAAATCGTTATGGAGATTTACAGATGGTACGTGCGATATTTTGAGCTGTTCACACATCCCCCAGATAAGACAGTACCAGCTGAATTTTCATGGGCCATCTTGTCACAGCCGCATGTGGACATTTATCCATTATAGTGAAAGAGAACAATGATCTAGGTCACAATCAGTTTTGTTCACCAATATCACACCCCATTTCACATAATTGAACCATCCTGCGCCCACTGTGTAAAATAACAAAACAAAGCACGGAGTGGAGTTGGAACAGCTCTGGAATTCAGATCTTCAAAGTTACTTGACCTATACTTCTATGATATGCAATGCCATCCTTAATAAGTACTGCATCTTCAACTCCCTCCTATCTACTTGCACTGTTTAGAAATCGTTGTCAGTGTATGGATAAAACCAGCGTTTATTGCCCCAGACCCCTAATTCTGCCAAGAATAATAAAGAATGACAAAAGCACTTAGCTTGATTGGCCACTTCAGAGGACAGTAGGTTGGTGGGGAACTGGAGCTACTTGTAGGGAAGACCAAGTAAGGATGGGAGCTTTCCATTCTTGAAGTTGTGACTTTAATAATGATTGAATAGTTTCATCATCCTTTATTCAGATACCAGTTATTTAATTTTCTGATGGTCCTTTTTAAAAAACTGAACACAGATTCTCAAACGGTCAGGCTTAGATTCCCTTTCATTGTTTAATATTGTTTTCTGCTTTGTCTTATTCAGCCTGTTGGAAAGCCCACCTGCAGCTTAGATCCTGAGAGACAGGGATCATTTGTTAATTTGTTAAATTGTTTATGGGATTAAGCACAATGGCAAGGCTGTGTGTAATTTTTGTGCATTTAATAATCTGTATTGGTGAAAAGGATAAATACAAGTTAAAAGTGAGAAAGAAGAACCACATGCAGATGTACCATATTGGCAGTGACAGAGGTAAATGACAAGCAAGAAAGTTAAAATATTATACATAAAGTATGTGGACAGTGTGTTGCAGCTGCAGAATCAAACCAAACTCTGTGTTTTATTCCGGATCAGACTTGGAGTTTACAAATTGGAAGATTTCAAAGTGATTTGTACTGAAGTTAATTCTTGGTAAAAAGTATTGTTACATTGATGAAATCAAAGTAGTCCACGCAGGAAAATGCCAGGAAGGATTTCTTAACAGAAAGAATAGTGGACCTTTGGAGGATCCCACACTCCTCCCTTCACCCCTGCTGTTCCCCAGAAAAAATTGCTCTTGAGAGCCAGGGGTTCAGCTGAAAATTACAAAGCTGCAGGATTGGCATATTTTTGTTTGACAAGGGAATTAAGAGTTGCAGAATCAAGGTGGGTAAGTGGAGTTAAGATACAGATCAGCCATAATCTAACCGAATAGCAGAGTGGACTCAAGAGGCTGAATTGTCTCATTCTGTACCTGATGTGCAAGGAAGCTGAAAAAAAAGGTGAAATGACTGATATCAGGCCAAGATGAGTACTTCATGATTTACAGGATGTTTCATTCCAATGTGGAAGGGTACACAATAAACCTAAACACATTCGATTCAAGTCACTGGTACAGAAGCTGTCAGGTGTGCTGATGCACATCTGTTGCTATCCATTCTCCTATTGACCCCTGGGTCTTGGATTAATATATCCAAAAAAAAATTGCCTGACAGTCCACTCCATTGAAATCATCGCCTACTCTGCTGTGTTTAAAAGCCAAATCTTCAGGAAAGTTTCCCTCCTCACCTCTTTCACCTGTATTCACCCTTCAAACAGCACTGGGGGTTGGCTACACCCCATAGGCTTCAGTGTTTCAGGAAGACAGCTCACCACTTCTTGAGAGCAATCAGGAATGGACAAGAAATGCTGGCTCAGTCAGTAATGCCTACATCCCACAAATTTGTTTCAATTAAATCATGAAACAGAAATTACTGGAAAGATGCTGGTATCCGATGGGAGAAAGGAGAGGTTGAAGTCTTGAATAGAAATCATTCACCACAATTCTAACACAGCATCAATCTGTTTCTTTTATTTTTTTGAGTCCCAACAGGCCTGTGGTGTACTTTCTGTTTTTTACTTCAGATTTTCAGCATCTCAGCAGTTTCTGTTGTTACGGCCACACTGTCCAATTCACTGGAGTGTGTCACTGTACCAGAATCGCAGAAAATTGAAGCAGCTTCCTTAGGTTTGGGGTGAATCCAATGAGCAGAAGTCAGTTTTATTCCCTCAAACCCCATATAAACTTCCAGCACTGAACTTTGAGTTGATATCGGTTTGATGGTTACTGGTTTTACTTTTCTCCCCCTCCTGGGACCCTGTTTTGAATTACAGCATTTTTGTTTGTCAATTTATGTGTTTTTGTTTGATCAAGAACTCTACCCAAAAGAAAAAAAGCTTCATGATCTAAGATACTTGCTGTCTCAGTCAATCAAAAGTAGACTTTCCGCTGCATATCTCAGACTACCAAAACAATGCTCCACATTTTTTTGAAGAAATGAAGATTTATTGCATGGTATTTATTTTCCCATTTCCAGTGCCAAGGAAGAAAGTACACCTCAGAGAATTGAACTCACATTCATATAACACCGGTATTACAGATGTCGTTAGCATCATTTGAAAAGAATGTGTTTCCATTCTGCTATCTAATTTTGAAGTTGGAAATGAAAAGGGTATCAGATTCCTATTTTTCACTCCCATATTAAATTGAACTTTATCATACACTGCTGGATACCAGGTTGCCCTCCCCTTCGCCTAGCTGACTTCGAAGTCTGCTCACTGGTGCATATATGTTAATAACATTTAGTGGGAGGACTTCATACATTCTCTAATTTTAATGAAACTGCTCAGAAACTAGGTTTACCATTTCCCCAGAAATGACAAGAGAGAGAATCTTCTGCTGTGATTAAAGTGCCTTGAACACACAGAGCCTTGGAGAATCTCCCTGCTTGTTTTACAGCATCACTTATACACATACCTGGGGGAAATCTCCTGGCTTTGTACTGTCACTGACACGCTAGGAGACTGGAGGGAATGCTGGAGCTATATAAGGTGCTTGGAAGGCCACAGCTGGAGTTCTGAGTACAGATCTGGTCACCACATTATAGGAAGAACATAATCGCTGTAGAGAGAGTACAGAGGAGATTCACAATAGTGCCACCAGAATTTGAAAATTGCAGGTATGAGGAAAGACTTGAGAGGCCGGGGTTGTTTTCCTTACAACAGAGGAGGCTGAGGCATGCCCTAATTGAGGTGTAGAAACTAATGAAGAGCTTGGATAAAATGGGCAGAGAAGATCTATTTCTCATAGTGGAGGGGTCAGTTACCAGGGTGCACAGATTTAGGTGCCTGGTAGAAAGATTAGGGGGACACAGTGAAACACTTTTTCACCCAGAGGGTAGTGGGTGGCTAGAATTCACTGCCTGGTTTGGTAGTTGAAGCAGAAACCCTTAACTCATTCAAAAGAAGCCTGAATATATACCTAAAATGCCACAACCTGCGAGACAACAAACCAGGTGCTGGTAGGTGGAATTAGAATAGACAGCTGGTTTATTCTGCTGGCCTAGACATGAGATGAATGGGCTCCTTCTATGCTGTAACTTTTCTGCGGCTCTATGGAATCTTTCTGTTGTGTTTACAGTGTAACTATCACAGTAGAAGCATACAATTATTACAGCAGGGCAAGCCAAAGAAAAGTGCAAACAACAGCAGAAATCTCAATACATGGCCTTCTTTGGCCTCACAAAGACTTTCAATTCTGTCATCTGAAATGGATTAAAGGATATTTTTCTCAAATTTGCTTGCAGCAATTTGCCAATATTCTCTGCCTACTGCACAACAGCATGTAAGCCATGATCCACAACATCAGCTCCACCACAGGAAAAATATGTGTGCAGACTAGGGCCAAACAAGGCTGTGTCATTGCATCAGTGCTTTTCTCCATCTTCCTCACCACAATATTCCACTATATCCATGAGACTTCCTGCTAGAGTGGAGCCTCTCTACAGGACCTATGGGAAACTGTTCAACCTGCTTCACTTCATGTCTGAAACCAAGGTAATCCCAACTTCTTTCATCAAATTGCACGATGATAATGAGGTTTTTGTATGCGCAACACTTGTAGGCCAAACTCCAAACCATTGCTGATGCATTCACAGAACCATATGAGAGAATGGACTTCTGGAAGACAAGAGTCCTCTACCAGCTTGCTCCCATCACGTAATGCTGCCCCTCAACAATCTAGACCATGCCTGTAGACAATGTGAATCAATTCTCACTGCTTGGTAGCCATCTTTCAGCAAAGGTAGAAATCAACAATGAAATTCAACATTACTTCTAGTGTGCCAGGTAAGTGATTGGTCATCTGAGGAGCAAAATGTTGTAATCTCCAACCTGACACCAAACTCAGTAGTGCTAATTACCCTTCTGTATGTGTCAGAGATATGGA